ATTATTGGAATCATCATAAATTCCTCAGTTTTGAAAGTTTTCTACGAGATGACATCATCCCATTTATTACTTAAGTTTTACTGTTGATGTAAACTTCTCTTTCAAACTTCTTTACGCTGTTGGTGGAAGCAAATTTCCCCTGCCTTACATTTCGGTCATTACATACAATGTACAGTGTTATAAAACTCAAACTTCTTTAAAGCCAAAATTGAGCTGTTTCAGTTTTCCAATTCATGGAGCTAATTATTCTGCAATGCCTTTTCTCATTACCCTTGTCTCCTTATTTTCTTGTTAGTAAAAGATTTCCAAATATCTTTTAAATTCTATGTTGTCTAAAATATCTGTAAGTGCATACTGTTCTCAATATATACATTTTCCTTATTTCGTGATTCAGTAGAACATTTCCAAATTTAAGTATTTTATTTTCTACTGCTGTCATGTAGCAGCATTAGAATTGGTTTTTGAAGATTGTGACCTTTAAATAGAATGAGATCACTTATATGCACATCAATGGAAACGCTAATAAAAAAAAAAGTTGGGTTGGACTTAACTGAATAAGTGTTCAAAAATCAAATTGGCTATACGCTCGGAGACACACAGACCACACGATGTTGAAAATTTTGAGAACTGCTTTTTCATTTTTTTTTTTCTTAAGGAGCAGCCACAGACTATTTAGGGAGATAACATAGAGAATCTGCAAAGAATTCAGACTGAGGGAGCTGCTGAGATATTGTTGCCAAGTTGGCATGAATTCAAAACACATTTCTATATGCCTTTCATTATTATATCTGACCATCTGGGTCCTTTGTTTTTAAGTCCTAGTTAATTCTAAAGAAATAACACTAGTGTTCATCCAAGTAGATTCGAAGTGAATGAAAATAAATGTCATCGCTCTATCATTAATGTATTCTGGTGGTTTCAGGATGGAGATTTTCTCATATTCAGCAAATGTTCACTGTGCACCCACTTTATATGAGGCTCCGCCCCAGGTGTTTGGGTGAAGATGCTACTGCAACATGCGAAAATCCTTCCACTAGAGGCTAATCTTCTAACAAAGGATATAAGAAAATAGAGAAATAAATATGTTAAATGTACAATGTTTGACAGTGTTCAGTGTTGTAGGAAAATGAAGAAGGAAAATGGTTATGTATTTGGGAGGGGCACATGTAGTTTTAAATCTTATGATGAAGAAATGAGAATCTGTTCTTTGAATAAAGATTTAAAGGAGATGAGGGAGATAGCTTTGCACATATTTGGAGAGAGAACATCTCAGATAGGCAAAACAGGTAGTGCAAATGTCCTGAGGTATTAAATTGTTCCTGTTTTAAAGGAATTTATATAAAATCCAGTGAGGAGGAGCAGGAGAGCAGAGGAGGAGTGAGGGCAGACTAGAATAGTAGAAAATACATTCTCATATGTCTATTATAGAAAATTAGGGGAGAAATACATCAACTGTGACAGGTATCACCTCACCACTTGAAATAGTCAGATCATTGAAGTTTCAATTTAGGATATGGTACTGCAAATGGTCCATTCACAAATTCTAAATGTTGTGATAGATACAAGATACTATTTTTTTGACAATATCGAGATTGGATCCTCAGTGCATTTATGAGAAACCTGTAAGAAGCTATTCAAATTTATGTGTTTAATTATGATAAAATGTAACTAAGTAAACTCATAAGTATCTATGTAAGTACTATGTGAGTACTTCTCAAACTTTTACATGGCTCCCTTGTAGGGCAGAGCAATTCTCGGAGTATCAAGGTGTAAAAGCCAAGCCCCATCATGAAAAGGAAGTTACTACATAGTTCAACAATAATTAACACATAGTGAATATGATGTTAATAATACAGAATTATCAAAGGCATTTTATTATTCAGTTTGGTGGTAAATTTTCAAAACTGTTCTCTGGTTGTAGCATGATAAGAGGAAAATGGCTGCCTTTGTGTTGACAGGAAAAGGGAAGAGAAGCAGAAATACTGGTTGACATGTTCCTTCCATTCCTTGCTAACTGCCCTGGCATTTATGCAGTTGTGGGAGGCAGAACAGATACAACAGACACAATAACTCTAGGAGCAGGACAGCATTCTGGATGGTGGCCAGGCTTGGCAGGGAAACAAATCACATCTTGTGTCCTCCACTCGTACCTCATGGTAGAAGGAAATCCATTTAGAGTTGGAAAAGACATCAGAGTTATATTTTCTCACTTTATAGTTGAGAAAAGTGAGGCTCTAAGAAAATAAAGGTGATAGGATAGGCTGATGGTGTATCTCATATATTCCCACCTTCTCTTTTCACATATATTCTAGAAATTTTGTATGAAATCATGCTGGTTGCTAAAGTGTGACTAACAGCCACTGTCTTTAAACATCACTGGAATACCTACATGTCAGGCACAGAGCTAAGTATTTTATACACACTTTAGAATTTAACCCTTTTAACAGCTCAATAAGGCCAGTATTCCTCTTGTTTGACAGCTGAACAAATGGAGGCTAATCATTTGTACAAGAACTGCTAATATGTGGCAGATGTGGGATTTGAACTCAGTTCAGTTGAACTCCTAAGACCACATTTTCTCTGTTATACTTTCCAGATGCTTTCTTTAATGGCAAAGGTTGAATTTGGTTCTGGAAGGACAATTATAGCTTACAATAAAAGGGTGTTTATATCATTGCTAACAATTCTATCAGTGTCAATATCCTTGTTAAAGACACTTAAAATATTACATTAGGCAGCAGCACTACCAAATGTAAGTTATGAATTCCCAGGTTTCTTATTAAAGGAATGAAGCAACTCACTAATCTAAATGTAAAGGGTAACCTTTATATTAGTAGAATATTAGTAGAATCCACAGTACAGAGTACCAAGTACAAAGATAAGGGAAGCTTAGGGAACTATGAAATACAACTCAGCCTTGAGCCAAGGATCATCTACTAACAGGAAATGTAAAGAGAAAATCCTACACTCATAGGCACTGATACACCAAGAGCCCATATAGAGCAATAAATATGCATGCCGTGTTTTTTTTTCCTTTGGCTAACCTCAGCTATACCTATTCTTTCTATTCTGCAACTGAAATCGCTTGCCTACTAAACATTTCCATATGGAACAAAGACTGAGCAAGGAAAAGGAAGAAACTCATCCCACTGACCCTAAAAAGGGCAGGGCTAACTTTGACACCAGTTTTCAGACAGTCCCTGGTAGGGATGCCGATTGTGCAGAAAGGTGTGTTTGTTGACCAACGTGTTCAGTAAATGTCCTTTCATAGCTAAAGCATGCTATATAAAAGCAGCCATTTACTCTGAAGAGTTGTCCCCTAAAACCATAAAGTCCATGTAGTCCGTCTTGGGTGGGGTGGTGGTTGGTAGGTTTCCATAGAGGTCAGGGATAATATCAGGGAAGTGTCATCCTCTGAAAGAGACTGGTGAAAGTCATCACAGTCAATAAGTTGCCATTTCAGTCCTACCTCATCCTAGTAGACTGTAATATGGAGGACCTGTATCTAGTCGATCAAGATCATTCTGATGTAACCAATTGCACTGTGATATGTCAGGGATGACATCACAGTGTTTGCTGTCATTGAGACCATAGGGAAACGTGTGAATAAAAAGCTGCTAATACATACCCATTACTGTTCAAGGGAGACAATATTATGGTTTTAAATATCTCATGCATTTTGGTATGATATATTCCTACTATGATAGAAAAATCCATTTAGAGATTCCCAAAATGGGTTGTAATTCTAGGCACCCAGCTGAACTATGGACCCCCAAACTTCCTTTACAAAATAGGCTTTGCTAGGAGAGAGTGACTGAAACAACAGATGGTTTACTCTTTTTTCACAGGAAGGCAAAGATCAACAGCTTTTCAGTTATATTTTTCTTACAGATTCTAATAGCACTGTAGATGCCCCCCACAATGAAATCCCTATCAATTGCATTTAAGTGCAATTATAAACCTCCCATTGTAAAAGAATAAATTAAGACTTTCATTAAATGAATTATTTTATTGGAGTCTGATCCATGTTTTGGTGAAATTAGAAAATTAAATTCAAGAGCCTATAAAACTAAAGCCCACCCTCTAGACCCTCTTTGAATCCATTGAGACATTAGCTCCTCCGTTTCAGACTTTGATGTGAACAAGTGTCAGTCAATTATAGCCTACTAAGTATTATGGATAGACTTGCATATTATATGAATCTTAATGGTACAGAAGTACAGGTCAGTGATATGGATGAGAAATTCATAGCTCACATCAGAATAAAAAAAGAAAAGACAGATTTCAATAGAAAAGAAAATGTCTTACTTGGTTAAGAATGTCTTGTTTCTGTGCATGCAAGGAAAGAAAGAATACATGTGTTAATGTAAGGTAATTTATACTCATTATCTCATATTGCTGACAAACTAAAAGGCCAATTTTACAGATTGATTTTAAAACATACCCTAGATCCATGGGTCTCAAAATGTGGTCCTGAAACAGCATCATTATCATAAACTGTGAAACTGATAGAAATATACATTTTTGAGCCTTACCCCAGAAACACAGAAACTGAGAGGGTAGGGGAACAGGCAGAAACCTGTGTTTTAAGAAGACCCACAGGTGATTCTGATACAAGCTAAAATTTGAGAATCACTTACTAGGTCAATCTTTGAGTGTAATAAGCAAATAGTTCTAACTGATAGGAGATAAATATAATGAACAACACATATAAGATTTTTAAAACCATCCAGAGAAAATTATGAAAATATAACAGCATTATAAATATATATTAGATTATGAATACTTATTTCTCACTCCTAATGTTTCCATCTTTTGGAATAACATGTTTGACTAGCCCATTGCAATGCCTTTAAAGAAAAATATCTTCCCATACATATAGTACTACTTATTTTTTCCCATGTTTTTAAACATCAGTGGAACAATATAGAATTGAATTTGAAATCCAGGAGGGAAAAAGATACACACACACACACACACACACACACACACACAATTACTTATTCTATAATATTCTATGTATATTTTACATATATATAAAATGCAATGCCAAACTGGTTCTTTCTCATATTATCAAATTCCGTTACTTTCATGAATCATTTATATCTGAGATATGCTGACTATATTCACTGTGAGTCTTCTCACTGAGTTTGGATAGCTACTAAAAACTAGCTATGATCATACTCTTAACATTATATCATTCATGTAAGATTAGTTGGAGACTAATAAGAATCTCTTACCTTATTAGGTATGAGTTAGTAGTAATTACATGCATGGGAATATGCCATACTCATTACATAAGAGATGCCATTCAATGTACGTGACATACCTTTCTTTTCCCCTTATTCTCATCTCCCAAAACCTTCCTTTTCATTCTATGGCCAGTCAACAAAGTGAAGAAGAAAGGGCATTAATCTTAATCTGGGATTCCAGATAATTAGGTTTTAATTACGGCTCTTATCATGAAACTAGCTTGTGAATCTTGAGAACGTAATTTTAGTTTTCTTATAATGACTTTATCTAAAAACTTGATAATCTTATCTGTTAAGGAAACTTAAGACCTTTTTAAAATTTTTGCTCTTAGGGAATCTTTAGTGCCATTGTTTAGAATAATATATTTTTTTGATTTGGTTATTTTTTTTTCAAAGAGTGATTGTTACATGATCTTTAAAAGACACAAATTAAAAATAATTGATTCATCTGTATATTGCAGTTAGTATTTATTCTCCATTAGATTCATCCATATATTGCAATTAGTATTTCTTCTCCATTAAAATACACTTAAACAGGTCACATATTCATTATATTAAGCCTTTATACAAAGATTTAGAATTCAGTAATTAAAAGAGTGATAAGAAATACAGTGCACCTACCATATAAGCAGCTTTAAAAGAGGAGAAGCAAGTAAGAGATATTTAGGCTGTTCTTTCTTTGTTTCTTTGCAAATATCTTTTATATGGATGACATAAGCAATGTTCATTTTAGAAAACAAAGGATTAATTATTTATTCTAAAAGTAGTGTAGATGAAATTTTTTTTTCTAAATTTTCTTGTATAAGGGGGCATCAATTAAGTAGTCATCTGTGGCAAAGAACTTTAGGATTAACCTGTCCAGTCAATAGAGAGTGATAACTTCCCATGTGAATTCTGCATACTGTTATAGTAACCTTTCAGAAACTGGATGAAGTCATGTTCTGAAGAGAACCTCAAGGCTTTAAAGATTTCTTTTTCAACATTAAATATTCCTAATTACCTCCTATTGGCTTTTGTAAAATACATACTAGTGTTTAAGAGTCATATAAACTTTATTTATTTTTTTTCCTGAAGGGAAAAGACCTATCAGTGTTAGATTAGGAGTAGTTTTGCTTTTAAATTAGAATTACTTTGGGGTCATAATGAGATCTAACTTTTTGTTTTTCAACAATTCATTATTTTAATAATGCATTTCAAGAGCAGATCTGCACATTTATGGAGAATTATTACATTACTGAGTAGGCTGACATCATATGGGTGTCTAAGAATGAATCTAGTAATTACCTCAATAAATCCAGTATACAGTGACTGATAATCCTCATGAAAAATATAATAGTAAGACTAAGTCTGGAGAGTCTTTTAAATAAGAAATCATTGAAGCAAAAAGGCTATTTTGCAAACAAAATTACATTCCAACTTAATTTATAGCTACCAGCTGTCTTCAGGGAGAAAAACAAACCTAGTTTTATCTATGTATATAGATTAGATGACATGGACATTTTCAAGCGTGGTCAGAAATGTAAATATTAATGACACTTTTGGGCCTTACAGCAATTCTGTACAGTTGTCATCTTAGCTTTCCCACTCTGCTTTTATGGTCTTTGAGATTTTCAGTTCTACAAACTTTTCTGCCAACATTTTCTTCCTCATACCATAACATCCAGGAAAATAAAATCTGAGGGAAATGTACGCTGGATACCTGCTTTTGCTCCTAGGACAGGAAAATGGGAATGGCTTTAAACTGCCTTATTTTCCCCATCATTGGTAGGCTGTAAATATTAACTTACTTGAAAAAGAAAACAAATCTTAAAGACCTTTACAAGCTACAGTAACGTATCAGAATATAGACAAAATGAGAAAATATGACATGAAAAAAAGCTATGGGAAATACTGAAAGGAAATTATAAAACAATGTGAATTAAGGTTAGAATATATAGATCTGGTTTTGACTAAAACGCAAATTCTATAAATCCCTAAGAAAAGTAATATTGAAGGAAAACTAGGAACTGTGCTCTTGTAAACATTCAAAACTGTAATGACAATGATAACAAAACACAAATCGCAGTTAAATCAGCAAACAAATCTATCTAGCTGGCTAAATAATTCATCCAGGGGAAAGGGCCTTTTCCAAAGGGTAATTTGTTTTATCTCCCATACAACACAACTATCATTCAGAGAAACTGCAAAAGAACTCACAGCAAAGGTGCCCAAACATTTAAATGTAGCATCACTCAGGTAGCATTAAAAGGAAGGTTATTTAACAAGTAATTAGGAAAGGAAAGACATTCATTCAAGCAAGGTGTCCAAAAGCAATCGACAGGACATGAAGTTTTTACAAGGAAGGAATTTCAGGGACTTGTCAGCTTACTGGTAGCAGGTTAAAACAAGATAGGGTGAAGAAATTCCTCTTTTTTACCCAAAGTGGCTTTTTAAAATTACTAAAGAAAGAAAATCTTTCTTTAGTCAATGGAATCATTCTCTGAGAGGAGTAACTCTCCTGCCCCCAACGAATTTTGATCTGGGGTTAAAACCTGTAGGTCACAGAGTGAGCGGCAAGCACACTTTGTCTTCCCTTCTATCTAATCCTGACCTGATCCTACCTGAGCAAGCCAATTCAGAATTGCAGTATCTTTAACATCTAGGGAAAGAACCTAAGACCATATTAGAGATGACCTATACTCCTTCAAGCACCCAATATAGAAATGTTATTTTCATCTGCAAACGTTTTTTGAATGAAAAAAGTAGTACACTATTTTACATATTTTCCAAAACAGCATTTCATTATGAATTTTATTTCATTTATGGTATGGTATATGGTACATATATTTCCAAGGACTCTTCATTAAGAAACCCCTTCTCCAATCATATATATGAAACTGATATAAATGAAAAAGAAGTTTTACCCCTTCAGGATTATACTTTGCAAGCACACCATTACCATGGAATTCTTCAAGAACATCCTTTAATTTCTTTGTGGAATCTATAAAGAAATAGAGAACACACAAATTGTTCATAGATGCCTATTGTGGTTAAATAACCCAGTTCAGAAACAAAGACCCATTAAAATATAATCACCAACACATATTCAGTTTTAAAATGAACATGTGAAACGTTCTTTATCATTTTTGAAAGGCTATTTGGTTGAAAAAAGCAATCACACACAAAAAAGAAAGGGACAGAAATACTGTTTTCCAAGTGTATTGCCCAAGAATAAGGCCATTACCTATGTACTACATAAATTAATGAGCAAACATATAAAAAAGTAGCATCTCTTCTCTTTATTTTGATAGCATAACATCTAAATGAATGAAATAAGCTTAGTTTAAAAAGAAAATATAGGAGGTGCCTGAGTGGCTCAGTCGGTTACGCCTCCAACTTTTCATTTTGGTTCAGGTTATGATCTCAAGGTCATGAGATCAAGTTCCGTGCTGAGCTTAGGGCCTGCTTGGGATTCTCTCTCTCCCTCTCTTTCTTCCCCTCCCCCATTTGTGCACACACTCACTCTGTCTCTCTCTCTCAAAATAAATAAATAAACATTTAAAAAAGGAAAAAAAAAAGTAAACATAGGCATTTGTTATTGAACTTTATAATTAACACAGTACATTTTACATATTTTACTCCATTAGCAAAGAATAACCCTGCTGGACAAATAAACACAATGAAATGTGTAGTTAAGCCTCAGTGGTGAATCCAGTCAGAGGCAAGGTACACATTGTAGTATTTTGCAGATGGTTTTATAAGGAATTTTCTAAATATACACAAAGAACAAACTAAAGCTTAATTCAATTAAGAAACCAAGTTTTGGGAAAAAAAATTAAGAAACAAAGTTGAGGAAGTATCTCTCTACTTGCCAGAAGGGATGCTGCCCCATTGAGGAAGCATTCAATGAAAAGCTACTTACAGCTCCAAATTTAAAAAAACACACGAAAAAAGTTTAGGGGCACCTGGGTGGCTCAGTTGGTTTAGTGTCCGACTTTGGCTCAGGTCATGCTCTCACAGTCCCTGAGTTTGAGCCCCTCATCAGGCTCTCTGTCAGCACAGAGACTGCTTCAGATCTTCTTCCTCCCTCTCTCTCTCTGCCCCTCCCTCACTGGTTCTCTTTCTCTCTTTCTCTCAGAATAAATAAACTTAAAAAAAAAGTTTAGGTGCACCTGGCAGGGCTCAATCAGTTAAACATCCGACTCTTGGTTTCAGCTGAGGCCATGACCTCAAGGTTTATGAGATGGAGCCCATGTTGGGTTGGGCTCCATACTGACAGTGCGGAGTCTGCTTGGGATTCTTTCTTTCCCTCTCTCTCTTCCACTCCCCAGCTTACTCTCTGTCTCTCTCAAAATAAATAAAAGGTTTTTAAATAAACCTTTTTAAAAAGGTTTAGATATGTTACCAAAATAATTTTGAATTGCTTTTTCAATTTTTAAATATTTTGAAATATTTTTAGGATGTTCATCATACTAAGATTGTGACAAAAGAATCCTGAGTTAATATGGAAATAATGTCATGAAAGAAAATAAATGTTAGAAAAATATAAATAAGTAGAATATAAATATATGCAATCAATCTACTAATACAATGCTCTCATAGTTATCAAAATATAATTTTGATAAAGCAATCTAAGACTTACAATATACTTAACTTAGAGAAAACTAACCATTAATACTGATAAGCCATCTAAACATTCAATCAAGTTTGATTAATAGTGATAAAACAAGGCTGAAACTGAAATGTGGGAAATAAGCAGAAGCTGTTTAGTTTTCCACTAGGGAAGAGGGTATGGTCCTAGCATTTGAATATCATCCTCCTTTCATTTCCCCAAGATTCAGTGATGTTTGTAACATAAAATAATTCCCAGTTCCAAAAATACTAATTTACAAATGAGCTTTTGAGGCATCCTGCCAGAAAATTAATTCTTAGATCCCCATCAAGTGAATCATGTCTATATTTTGTGAATTATACTTTCATTTAGAGTGTGCAATTTTGTTTATGTTGTAAGTTCTGTGAGGTTTTTTGTGTGACTGTATTGTTTTTATATTATTAAAAATTCCACATAACATAGATTCTATTTTGACCATTTTAAACTATACAAATCAGTGGGTTTTTAAAATGTATTCACACTGCGGTGCAACCATCACCCTACATAATTCCAAAATATTTTCATCACCCCAAAAACAACCTCCATATTCTGGACATTCCATAAAAATGGAATTATATAATTTGTTGTCTTTGTTTGGCTTCTTTTACTTCAAGGTTCACATATGCTATAGTATGTGCCTGTACTTTATTCCTTTTTATAGCTAAAAAATATTCCATTTTATGGATATACCACATTTTGTTTATCCAGTCATCGTCTCATGTACATTTGAGTTGTTTCCATGTTTCAGTTATTATGAAGAATGCCACTATGAACAAACATTCAAGCATACATGATTTTGTGCAAATACATATTTTAATTCTCAGGGGTATACACTGAAGAGGAGAACTGCTAGGTCATACGGAAACTCCATGTGGAACATTTGGTGGAACTGCCAAACAGATTTTCACAGGGCTATCCTACTTCACATTCCTATCGATAATGTATAAGAATTCTAATTTCTCTACATCTTTGCTATACTTTCTTAGTTTTTTTTTAATTATTATCAGAGCTACCTTAAAGGGAATGAAATGCTTTTGATTTGTATTTCATTAGTTATTTGTTAATGAATAATGATGTTCAACAATTTTCATTTTTAAAAAAAATTTAAAAATGTTTATTTATTTTTGAGAGAGACAGACAGAGAGAGTGTGAGTGGGGAAGGAGCAAAGAGAGAGGAAGACACAGAATTTGAAGCAGGCTCCAGGCTCCGAGCTGTCAGCACAGAGCCCTATGTGAGGCTCGAACTCATAGACTGCAAAATTGTGACCTGAGCCAAAGTCAGATGCTTAACAGACAGAGCCCCCCAGGTGCCCCTGAACATCTTTTCAAATGCTTATTGGCCATATGTATATCTTTTTTGAAGAGATGTCTATTCAAGTCTTTTCACTATTTTTTAACTGGGTTGTTTATCTTTTTGCTGTTGAGATTGGTGTGTGTGTGTGTGTGTGTGTGTGTGTGTGTGTGTGTGTGTGGTGTAACATGTTTGAAGACTGTTACACTTTCCTATATATTTCTTTTTCAGTATATATTTTGCTACCACTTTCTGTACTGTGATCAGTTAATTTGTTACGTCTTGCTTCCTGCTAGATTGTAGGTTGCTCTGGGGAAGAAAATGTACATTTTATTTTTACATAGCACTCAAATTTATTACAAAGATGAAGTAATGAAATTGCAATAAATATTGTGATTCAATTGATCAAAGCTATTTCTTAATTAAAACAAATTACAGTAATTACTTTGACATTTACCTTGGCAGAAACTTAAAGCTACTTTAGAGACCAGGTTCTATATTAAAGAGAGAGATGAGGGGCACCCGGGTGGCTCAGTCAGTTAAGTGTCTGACTTTTCATTGTAGCTCAGGTCATGATCTCCCAGTTAATGAGTCTGAGCCCAGCACTGGCTTCTCCACTGACAGTGCAGAGTCTGCTTGGGGTTCTCATTTTCTCTCTCTTTCTCTCTGCTCCTCTGCCACTAGTGTCGTCTCCCTTTCTCTCTATCTCTCTCCCTTTCTCTCAAAATAAATGAATAAACTTTAAAAAAAACTAAAGAGAGACATGAAGCTGAATCTTTTGTCCCAAATCCTTCTTTGTCAATAATAAGGCATTAGTGTAACTTAGCAGAAAACTTTTACATCTTCTAATTTATAGATGTAGATGCAGATACTTCTGTATACAACTACATAGACGTACACATTTCTAGATTCACAAATTTTGGAATAAGATATCCCAAGGACTCTGGCTATTTTAACCATATCTGAGCCCCATGATAAAATGAAAGGGGGAGGAGAAAATTTGCTTTCTTATACCTAGGCTTTCCGAAGAACGTTAAATACATTGCCTAAAGATAGGCTTTTCATTTCAGGTTTCCATAGGAGTAACCCCCCCCTCCCCCGACACACACACACACGCGCGCGCGCACACACACACACACACACACACACACACCCCAACACTCAGTAATCACTTATGAATGCTCCAGAGAGGGCAATAGTCCTTAAAATTATTCATGTCATTTTTTAGGATTTTCTTGGTCATAGTTTATATTAGAATAATCTTAGTGGGAGACCACTAGGAATAAATTTAACAAATTAAGAGGCAAAATCTCTGTGTTTCAATGATGATCCTGCTCAGGGACAATTTAACAAGCACTGATTCATATTTAGATCAATCACCATTCACTCCATTTACCCCCTTTTCAATGGTCAAATTTCATTTTTAATCTTGATATCTAAGGTATATTCATGATCCAATCTCCACTTCACAATCTTGTTTAGGAACTGGAACATTATCTTGTTGTTCTATTCTAGTCCCAATAGCCTCTCTTGGGCCCAGTCTCTTGACCACTGAGGCCTTGACTTACCCAGCCAATATTCTATACATTAAGATTCTGGTATGAAACATCAAAGGGTTCCAGATATCCTGACTTGTCCCCTAACCTTTAATCAGAATTGCCTTATATGAACAGTCTACATATCTATGTGGATTCCCAAACTGCAGTAGATTGTAAAGATCCTGCTGTTGTGTTCTACCGACCTTCAAAGGCGAAACGTCACTTACTTATTTTATAATTCTGCTGCTTTTCTGGATTTGCTCCTATTACTTGTCACCATAAACATTCCTACCTTTCTAATTCTGTCAACTCTAAATCACATCTGTTCAAACAGCACTGGGGTGGTGGAGAGGAGAAAGGACACATAACTTAATCTGACCTACTCTCTAGTATAAGACAGACATAAAGTAAGTGATGCCTGGGTGAATAGATGGTTAGTGAAAGACATAATCTCAATCACATTTCAGCTAATATTGGAGCTTCAAATAAGAGAGCACAGTGACAGATTCTGGGCTGAGCAA